CCCAAGGCCCGGAACGATTCAGATGGTAAACAACGGTAAACAACTTCCCTGGACTGTCATCTTTTTTGCTTCTCCCCATGATTGACATGAATCCTAGTGATCAATCCTGTGTTTACTCTACTCAGCGTTTTGTTTGTGCCCGTGCTAAATAGTATAATATAATTATACCATACACCTGTTCTGACTTTTGATCAGCCGCTATGGTGGAAGGCACTCACAATAATCAGGAGCCAGCCAAGTGTGATCGTTCTGCAGGGCATTTGAAGACGGGCTCAGGACTCCAGGAACTTCTTGAAGTAGTATATGCCATAATTATGCTGGGTGGAAAGGCGATCTCTAGAGTTGTGCGGGGACATTTCCTCGTTGATGCTGCTCTAAATACCATGCTGATAGCATACTTGTATAACATACATCTCCCACGAGTACAAACAACCTTCGGAAGTTCAGCACCCAGGTGTTCCATGTGGAGCAGATTCCTGGAATTTATTGTGATGCGGCAGAATTTTAAAGCCACAGTTCTTGTCGGTGATGACACAAACCTTCTCATGTTGCTGATCTTCTACGCTGATCTGAATGCGAAGGACTTTTTGTTTGCACCTGATCAGCCCAAGGCAAACTCCAAGTAGAACCGAAGATGTAATATGAAACAGCTGAAGGAAACTCTAGGAAGGTAGTGTGTGTGACTACTTTCTCTTTGTCCATGTGCTTCTGTGCTGCCAAACAACGTCTCGCATATTTGGACTAGGGTAAGGCGTGCAGCACTGAAGAAAATCATGAAGAATGACGACTTTTGTGAGCTTGCCATAAGGTACGTCAGCCAGCATCAGACCTGAAGGAGACCATTATTACAGCTGGATAGAAGACACTCGTATGCCTGTATGGTGGTGACTCAACAGAAGTATTGCGTAAAGGTATCATTAATCTTGTCTGCCTTATTGTTAGAAGCAAAGACTTTGCCACCAACTTCAGCAGCAGCAAAGTTCCACAGTCTGGGTGTGTACTAGTTATCAGATATCAGAATAGACAGGAATGGCAGACAACCTGACATCGGGAAACTGAGTTGGCAGGTCATGGATGGGAAATATCTTCCAATAAAAACTGATAAAACACCAGCACCCGCATCACTCCTTCAGGTCATCAGATGTGGATGCAAGAAAGACTGTGCAGCCAAGAAATACATGTGCCGGAAGTATGGCCTCCAATGTTCAACAGCCTGCATTGATTGTCGCGGCACTAGTTGCACCAACTCACCACCATTAGACCTACATGTAGAACTTGATGCTACTACTAATCAGCATGCCACATAAATGTATGTTTGTTGGAGACTACCAATTGCTCTAATCAACTTAAAATATGTATACCAAACTGTAGGCCTCATGATCTGCATCCTGTAATAACAACTGAACTGGGATTGTAAACCAACATACACATATTATAGCTGCTCAGAAATGCACTATAAGGTGAGAATCAACACAAAATTTATGCAAATTAACCCAATTTTTTGGAAAATGTATGTGTATATGCAAATTAAAGAACCAAATTATGATACATTTGAAACATAAAAATATTTTACAACATGAATAAGCGTTGTCGCAATTATTCTGAATATATCATAGGACAAGAAAAATAAGTATAATCAATTCTCTACAAAAATGCTTAATTTGGCAGCCATTTTGAATTCAAGCAGATTGAAACACACATGCAACTGGGCATATGAAACCTTGTGCAAACAAAAGCATTCCAGGAAATAACATTTTAGACTTTCAAAGTACACCCAAAGTATGCTAAAAGGTATATGGTGAATAATTTGACCAAATCTAGGAAAATTAAACCCTAGAATTGGTGGCCATTTTGGATTTATGTAAATTTGACACACTTCCACTACACGGATTTTGTCGGACTTTTAGTATGTCACTTTAGGGACTTTACTAGAATGCAATTGCAGTGAAAAAAATGTTTTTGCAATTTGTTTAGTGCCACAACAGCCCATACAAGTTGAACAATATGACAAAATCTATGTGAAAATCCTCAAAATAGCGGCCATATTGGATTTATGCAAATTAGGGACACTTCCACTACACGGATTTTGTCGGACTTTTAGTATGTCGTTTGGGGGACCTTACTAGAATGCATTGCAATAAAAAATATTTTTTTGCTATTTGTTTGGTGCCACAACAGCCCATACAAGTTGAACAGTATGACAAATCTATGTGAAAATCCTCGAAATAGCGGCCATATTGGATTTATGCAAATTAGGGTCCCTTCCACTACACGGATTTTTTCGGACTTTTAGTATGTCATTTTGGGGACCTTACTAAAATGCATGGCAGTTGAAATTTTTGTATTGCAATTTGTTTGACCTCAAACCACATTTTTCCTAGCCTATTAGGACCCCTTCTATTCATAGCATATATAAAATACTTCATATTTTTATCCCGACTATTGTCATTTATAATATACGCAGATGACTTAAGCATATTTTAGTGTCATCAAAATCCTCAAATTCTTGCTGAAACTGTAAATTCGGAACTTGAGAATGTTGTACAGTGGATTTTTGCGAATAGACTGTCACTGAACTTGGACAAAACTAATTTCATGTTTGTTAGCAATTCAATCTCCAATTTACTTGGAGATATCTCTTTCAACAATGTCCAAATTAAGAGAGTACATTCGCCTGTTTATTGATGATAATAACTGTCATTATCTCAATTTCCTGGACCCCAGGGAAGAACAGTTGAGTTAAACTAACAAAGCTGAATGGATTATCCAGCCATTCATACTACCATCGATTTTACTATGTACATGCATTGTCTTTATATTGTTTTTTAATATTGTGATATGGAAAATAAATACCAATATCAATACCAATGATGGAGTGACCTGGAAAATGAATACAAATTATGTGTGTTCATTACTATCAAGAAATGCTGGTGTGATATACAAACTGAAATCTATATGCCCACCATATGTATTGCAAATGTTGAACTCCACTTTAATGTTGCTCTACTTCAACTATGGTATTCTTGACTGGGGTAATTATTCATTGAAACTCCAACTAGACAAAATCCTGGTTGTTCGAAAAAGAGTAATACGTACAATTTGCAATGTACCTATTCGTACTTACTGGAGCCCTCTCTTCTTTGATAATAAAGTACTGAGAGTTCAGGATATTTTTAATTTACAATTAGTTTACAACAAACTGCCCCAGGCACTATCATATTTCTTTAAGAAAAGAAGTCAAGTTCACGACTATCCTACCCGACAGGCGTTTTCCTATTTCCTTCCGAGAACGAGAACATGCTTTGCTTAAAATACTTTAAAGGGGGTAAAACATGACAAATACTGGTTAACACCATCTAAGACTTCTTTTGGGCAACTAAACGTAAACGAATGGACTTGATTATTCGGTCAGCGCGCTAGCGTTCGCGAAACAGACCAAAGTTCTCCTCACGCTTCGGCTTCACGTATGTTGCACGCATGTGAATAATGCGGTCGCGTCGCCCGTAGGATTGGCCCCGAGTCAGGCCACGGGAAAGACACGTAGTCTCGTCATGCTACACCCCCTTTAAAGGCACCGTTTAACAATGTTATATCTGAGATGCATGGCCCTACGTGTTATCAGTGTCTGTGATATGGTGTAATATGGAAGCCCTAAAAAAAATCGCGCTTCAAAATGATCATGAAGTGCCTCAAAAAGTATAAATCGTTGAGCGACCGGTTTTACCATACTAATTTTTCTCAATAGACTTTTGTGTTATTAAAAAAAACCGTTAGGAAAACGAATTTTGAAATTTCGATTTTCAATCATAAATATCATGATATTCAGAAAGGCGATCGGCTTGTAAAAGTCATGGGGTTCCTGACTGACCTAAGGGTTTATACTTATCATTGCAGCATGAGCTAAATCCAGGATTTTGTTTTAGAATCTAAAGACAAAGATACTCAATCCCTTTAATATATACAGGTCCCAAGTTCTGGAATTCTCTTGATTCTGTGATTAAAAGGTCTGTAAGTGTTCATGTATTCAGAAGAAAATTACAATGCTATTATTTGAAGACATATTGTCGTTCCTTATTCCTGACTATTTTTGTCTCCAAGCAGTATACTTTTGTTGATTACAATGAGTAAATAACGGTATGGCCATGCCAACTTTGTACATACTCTACTCATATTGAGAACAAAATACATTGCACTATTGTTTCAATATTAAGGTACATATGTATTCCCTTTCCTTTCCCTTGCCCCCCCCCCCCCCCACACTCAGTGTTATTAAGGGTACGCATATGCGTGTTCCCTCCTTTTGAAAACGCCCCCTAAGTCCGGTGTGTATAAAGTCAATTTTGTGTATGTACGAGCCGGACTTTGGTGCGTGAAAAGTACCCCTTTATCGGACATTTTGGTAACAGCATGCGGTCATTCCGACCCCTGAGTGGGGGCCGGGCCCTTGTCCTTTGTTGTTAATTTTGACTATCGGTTCATGTATTTCTGTAATCTCCCTTTCCCTGTTTTAGCGTGTATTTGTATTTAATAAACCTAACTGTAGTTAATTATGTCATTTGAAGTTTAAGGAGCCTATTCACAGAAGCTCAAGGACAATTTTTCGAATAGTGTATACCGGTATTCTATGTTCACGTATATCATTCAATATGTTGCTACACTCTTTGTAAAATGAGACATTGTGGAAACCAATAAATTATCTATCAATAAATAAATCTTATCTAACTACCAAAGAGACTATGCCTTCTGCACGGTCTAGTACACCCATATGCTCTGTAGTTTAGCTGGTCATGACACAACCAGGGACTGACAGGGCTAGGCTCTGCCAATAAGAGTCTTTGCCTGTAGTCTAGTAAAAGCGCACCCGGTAAAATTGTGATGGTCGATTTTGTTTGTCTTTATCAGAGAATTTTCAAGACTTTTCCCCCTCCCCCGAAAATCCTGGAGCTGTCAATGTCAAGCACCATCTTATTCAAAGTCAGGACTAGATTGTAGATACATACCATAGTTCGTCATTGGTTCCACCAGTCGTGTAGGCCCGCCACTTGTTTTTCAACGTGGGTTCTATAGACTAGAAATTGGGATTAACTGTGTTAACTGTGTGGACCTAATCAATTGGTTATTAGATTGCGTGTGTGAACGAAACTACATGTATAGACGTTAACAATAAAGGATTGTTATGCAGTACATACTATTGTGTATTTTAAGACTTTGGAATCATTAAAGTAATCAAACAAACAAAGTAACCAACAAATAACCAACACCCATCCTTAGATCGTTTCTGAAACATGCATCCAACATTCTTTGCAGTCGTTTTTTAATGAAAAGTCATCTAACAAGCAACAACAAAAACAACAACAGAAATCACCACCTCGAAAACGGTGAGGGGGCACAATTTTAAACTTGGATGCTTAGGTATTTCACTTCGGTTTTAAAAGGAGTGCACGGACAGGATAATTGAGAACATAATTATACTAATTAGGCGATTTCATTTGACTTACAGAAATATCTTTACTGTCGTAAGTTCCTGGACAGAATCTTGGAGAATCTTTTACATTGCTCTTGAAAGGCCTGAAATGAAATACACATAAATAAATAAGAACATAAATGGATATGTTGATAACTAAATACATAAATGATATATTCCTATTTTGTAAACATAGGACCTAATTTAGCAAATAACCTAATACACCGAACGAAAATTTTACTACATTTCTTCTGAACCTTCAAATTCATTACTGTTTTTTAATCCCACAGATCCTAATAAATTAACCAAAATAACTCAAAAACTAAAATTAAGTAAATCACAGGGTCACGATAGAATTAGTGCTTTCCTTCTTAAACACGTCATACACTTTATCGCTTGTCCTTTAACTCATATTTTTAATCTATCAATTAATATAAAAACTGTTACTACCCAAGAAAGGTTCGATCATGTACTTTTGACAGCTATCGTAGAGAAATGATTTGGCTGAATACAAATGTTACGTATAAAAGGAAAATGCTTTTTTTATAGCAATTTGATAAATTCTGACATTTTTTGTTGGGGATTTAATGGATGGTAAAAGTTTTCTACCAGTTACTGAGTTAAGTGCGAAAATATTATTTAAGGATGGAAGGTGGTATAGTCAATATGCACGTTTTAGAAGAGCGATTCAATCACTTGGGGATATGTTAGTACTTGCAGATATGAATGTAGAACATAGAGAGTATATGAAATTTAGGTCCGCAGCGTTTGGATATAAACTTGATTGAGGATATGATTTCAGTTAGACAGTTGACAGTTAAAAGAATATATCATGAGTTAATTAAAACAAAAAAATCGAAGAATCTAGAGCGGAGGAATTTTGGCATAATACACTGTTGGTCATAATGGTGGAATAATTATTTTTACCCCAGTTTAGGGAAGGATTTTAAAAAATTATTTATTTCTAATAGATCTAGAAAATGGCATACATTCTCAGATTTTATTGAATATTAATTTTGCGAGTGTTTGTTTTGCGTGACTGCTAGATCATATGTGTGCTACTAAGCTAATCAGCTAAGGGACCTACGTCCTTAAGTCATAATTGACAGTAATGAGGATTAATGCCTCACAAAAGGGCACTAATATATATAGCTGATCGACACGATGTTTATCCTGGGACCTCACAGTAACGAGGCCATTGCTTAGCACCTGAATCATGACTGTACGCAGTGTTTGCTAGGGTACGCGGCCGCCCCCACAAATCCCCCAAAACGAAGAAAATGCAATAAATTGTCAAAAATTCATTGCATTATCCTCCGGCCCCAAACAGGAAAAATTCCTCTGTAGGGCCATGTATTGATTGGTATTGATCTTAATTCAAAGAAGGACAAAGATGTTGATATTATTTTGAACTATGCACTTTTTACTATTTTCAAAACAATTGTTGGAAAAGAATTTAAAAAGAAAACAACAAAAAAGAGACTTCTTCATATTTTTATTTACCTATTAAATTATCGTTTACAAATACAAGAAAGTATTAGAAAACCATGTATATCCCTCCAGAAATGGAAGCAAATGCTAAAAATGTGAATATGTTTATATTATTATGAAAAAATAAAGAAGACCTGAAATGGTTATTTTCCAAAAAAAAACTCAAAAATTAATACCGGGAAATGTCCCGAGTCTTTGAAAATTGCTAAGGTAAATCCTGTTTTAACAAAAAGAAAATCCTCACGAAAATAGTAATCACAGGCCTATTTTAATTCTTCCGAGCATATCCAAAATCCTAGAAAAGATTGTTTACTATAGGCTTTATAAGTTATTAGATACTTTTCATTTCCTAAATCTAAATCAATATGGTTTTAGAAAAGGACATTCAACCGACCAAGATTTAGTACAATTATAAAATAAAATAACGAATGCTATGACCAATAAAGAACATGTAATAGGAGTATTTATGTATTTATCAAAAGCCTTTGACACACTGGACCACCAAATTTTACTGAAAAAAACTTTACTGTAGTTATGGAATTCTGGAAGTTGCACTGTCATGGTTTTTATTATCCTTTGTCCTATTTGCTGATGACACCAACATCTGTTGTTTACATCCTAATTTAGGCACTTTAGTAAATACACTTAATAATGAGTTACCTAAATTATCTCTATGGTTTTAATGCAACAAGTTATCCCTTAATATAAATAAAACAAATTTCATGTATTTTAAGCACGCAAATTCTCATGTCATTGACTTTTCTTACAACATAAATATAGATAATGTCCCTCTCGAAAAAAAAGAGAACAACTACATTTTCGGGTGTCATTATCGATGAAAATCTCAATTGGAATGAACATATACGTTATATCACTACTTCTATTTCTAGGAATGTTGGTTTATTATACAAAATGAAGAAATTAATCCCATGTTATACGCTCGTTATGCTTTATAGTGCATTGATACTACCGTACATTACATATTGCAATTTAGTATGGGCCACCAGCGCCTAAACCAAAATCAACTATATTTATTTATTGCAAAAAAAAGCCCTTCGTATAGGCCTATGTACTGTATCACCATATTTGTCTCACACAAGTCCAATATTTTACAAACTGAAAACCCTAACAGTATTCGATATAAATTCGCTACAAAGTTTATTGATCATGTTTAAGTATTTAATATGCTCCCTCTTTTATTTCAGAACGTTTACACTATGAATAAAGCCACTCACTCTTACAATACCCGTAATTCATCAAATTTTCATCTAGTAAACCCGGAATTAATTATTGCCCATAGATCCATAAGGCACTATGGTTCTGACCTATGGAACTCTCTCCCAGAATCAATGAAATCATGTTGCTCCCTCTACTCATTTAAGGCCAAAGTTAAAACGATGTTATTATCAGAATATTCAAGGTAAAATTTCTGTGTCAAATCATCAGTCTTTATCATAATGTCATCCCTTCTTTCATTCGAATCATTATCATCATCGTCATCATCATCATTATCGTCATCTTCATCATCATCATCATCATCATCATCCTCATCTACATTGTCAATATCATCAAAATTTGTATTTTCTATTACCTATCCGTTTCTGCTTAATAAATTTTTAAATCTATTTCACGAGTCTTTTCTGGGGCTGTCGTATTATCAAGCAATCTGCTTATACGATGACAGTCCTTCTTCCGCAAATAATTGTATAATGTTTTATAATGTTTGGGAAAATTTAGTATTTATGACAGTTTATCTTTCTTTTCTTTTTTGATAACGATTTATATATATATATATATATATATATATATATATGTATTTGCTTACTTATGATTCATTGTCAGAAAAATACTTATTGTACTTCATATTATTATAATTGTATACTTACATGAATGCAGAAGAAAATAAAATCAAATAATCAAAAATATATATATATATAAATAAGTCAATAAGTAAGTATATAAATAAATGAATAAATAAATAAAATAACAAATACGGGAGTGGCTGTCACTTTAAAAAAACGATTGAAATAATCATGTCTCAAAGTCGAACTCACCATAGACCATGTATCGTCCATATCTTCTGAGCTGTAATCGGGATGGTACATTTCGTCTGAGAACAACCAAGATAATGAAATATTGGATGGAAAAATCTTTAGATTTAGATTAAAGTATTGGTAATGATAATGGTAGTAATAATGATAACATCCAAACAAGTACCCAGCGCTCTTACACAATTATTTGCAACTAATGCACACATACCCTAGTAGACGCTGTTACCAATATCATCTTCCTTTAACCCGAACAGTCTTCTCACATAAAACAATTGTATGCACTGGACCAGTGTACTCGGATACGCTTGATGCCCTCCTAAAAGAACACTAAAGTATCTTTTGCTTCAAGAAATACTTTAAGCTCACTCTGTTGAAGTCACACTCAGCTCCAGCTATGCCACCCTTAGTCGTCAACCTTCGCGGAATAAATTAATTACGCACAAACGAACTTTAGTACGCAAATTTATCACTAAGCACGGATTTGCTTTCTCATTCTATCTGGTCTTCTTATTCTTGCCTTCCTATTCCTCCCAGTGAATTTCTTTCTTTCCTCTCCAAGGAAATACTAATAGACTACCTATTACGTGGCCCTACTCCTACCTTCTCATCCTTTTTTGGTGTTTTCATCACTTGCCTTTTTTTTTTCTTTTCTTATCATCTGTTTTGTTTTTCTATCGTTCATTATACGCTTGTACAAAATTCCATTGGACCATTTTCGGCGTGTTTTCTGGTTTTCGCGTGTTTGTTCCCTGAGAGTCCGTCGCGGGTTCGGTCGCCTATGCCGGGTCTTTGTGTTTCTTTTATCGGGGCTTGTTCGGTGTACAATAGTGTATGTTACTTCTTCTACTACTACCTGACTACTACTACTACTACCACTACTACTACTACTACTACTACTACTACTACTACTACTACTATACAATTGATGATAATGACACTACTACTACTACTACTACTACTACTACTACTACTACTACTACTACTATTACTACTACTACTACTACTACTACTACTACTATACTACTATTACTACTACTACTGCTGCTACTTCTACTACTACTACTACTACTACTACTACTACTCCTACTACTATTACTACTATTACTACTGCTGCTACTTCTACTACTACTACTACTACTACTAATACTAATACTGCTACTGCTACTTCTTCTACTACTACTACTACTACTACTACTACTAATACTACTACTACCACTAATACTACAACTACTCCTCATATCACAACTACTGCTGCTACTACTACTACTACTACTACTATTACTACTATTACTATAACTACTAATATGATAATATCACTCTACTACTACCAATGATAATAACAATAATACTACCACCACTACTTCTACTACTACTAGTGCAACCACCGCTATTTCTACATACGGAACATCGATTTGTTGAAAATAAAATCCTTAACGTACACGATGTGTCTTCATTCCGCCTAGCATTCCACTTAGGAATTTCCATGTTTCAATTTACATCCAATCAGGTACCCAGCGCTCTTTAATACAAAATTATTTACAGCTATTGCACACATACACAATCATATTCAATTCAATTTAGTATTTATTGTCCATTTATGGATATTTGATTTTCACTGGTGTAACATATACAGATTAACATTTACTAATGAATTTACAAAAATGTAGACATTAACAGTAAATAAACAAGGTTTAACATATGATTAAGCACAAATTAACAGATGATCGAATGTTGTTTTATAAACACTAATTCAGAACAATAGTTAACATAGTAATTGAAGCAGAGCAAGAGGAGGTGTCAGGTGATCAAACGAATTAACAGGTGAGATAAATATAAATATACTGAGGAGGTTTGGTATCCAACCATGTATTTTCGTCTTAAACCAATTTGGGAATTATTAATTAGATTAAATATAATATTAAAGTACAACACTGGGTCTTCGAGACATTCCGTTATACATATGGATGGAGTTTGGTATGAATGATTGCCGAGTTCTCACTCGTGCAGACCTGGGAACACACAAACGAAAGCCTGACCTATTGTGATTGTAATTAGTGTGAAGCGGGTGGGTGGGGTCGTTCATGATTCGTTTGACTTTAGCAACTACTCTTTCTCAATACAGTGTGGATAATGCGTGTATGCTACTGCCAATTATCCGTTGTGCTACTCTCCTCGTACCGTCTAACTTCTTCTTATCTTTTTGAGTTGCATTCCCAAAATAGCATATTATGTTGTATGTAGCTACACTCTCTATCAATGATCTGTAGAATAGAGTCAGAATTGTTTTGTCTACATGCATCTTTCTCATCATTCTCAAGAAGTACATTCTCTGATTGCACTTTTTTCTAAGCAAGGTAACATTCGATGACTAGTCGAGTGAATCAGATACCGTTGTCCCCAAGTACTTATAACTAGGGACTTTTAGAATGAGTGGACGAGAACACGACGAACGCCAACTGACCATGCGTGTCAACGTACTCAACTGCCCATGTTGACTACAATTAGAAATCTTTTAGATTGCACTCAACGATATACATGCATGTAGGAAGTAACACTATATGAACATGACAGACAAAGAAAGAGGACAAAATATAGAGCTCCTCATTCTACTCTCAACAATAGGCCATTTTCGTAATGTAACCAAATTTAATGCATAGGTCTTTGTGAAGTGCCTCAATACAAATTATTTAATTTACCTGATAGGAATAATAGTATTTCAATAGTCAGAATGCAACTGCATATATTAAGTGTTGCTAGGTAGGCCAAACCATAATGTTTGTCCAACCTAGCTGGCAACAACTATAATGTATGCAGTTAGGATTCTGTCTATTGAAATACTATTATTCCTATCAGGTGAATGAAATAGTTTGTATTGAGGCACTTTACAAAGACCTGTGCATTAAATTTGGTTACATTACGAAAATGGCCTATTGCTACGTGGTAGAACATCCCTTCACTGCTATTATGTAAAAATGTGTAGAACAGGTGAACATGCATGTAACACCTGTTCTACACATTTTTACATAATAGCAGGGAAGGGATGTTCCTTTGTCTACCTGATGAACTGTATATTTTATGCGCACGCGGCATATACTAGTACCGTACTAGATTTAGGAAACTCAAGGTAGACGCATTCTCGATCGCCGACTGAGACGACGTGACGCATGCGCAGTGCCTTAAAATGACGTCACACGTTGCAGTCAAGGCTGTCAACGTGCAATTCTAAAAGTCCCTACTGTCAACTTACTAGACGTCGTAACCAATATCACCTTCCTCTAACTCGAACAGTTTTCACACACAAAACAATTGTATACACTGGACCAAAGTACTGGAATACTCTTGATGCCTCCCTAAAACAAAATACAAGCATCTTTTGATTCAAGAAATACCTTAAGCTCACTCTTTTGAATTCACACTCAGCTAAAATGAGATCCGGGCCCCACAGAAGACCAGCTTATCCGTGTCGGGTAAGGTGAATGTGGGCAATCCACCGTATTTCATTGTTATTATTTTTTTATACTAAAATACTATTACTACTACTTCTGATATGCAACCCTAAGGCGTTAGCATGCGCAAAAAACTTAATTATGCGCAAACAATCTTTATCATGCAAATGCACGAATCATGGATTTGCTTTCTTATTTTATCTGGGCCCCGTCTTATAAAGAGTTGATATCATTAGCAAAAGAGATAGGAGACTTAAAACCTGCGATTGATTGGAAGACTAATGATTGATTTGGAGCGTAAATAATGTCTGTATAGTTTAATGACTGTATGTATAGTTTCATGAACTTTGATTGGTTAAAACTACTAGTATAAAGACATTCTCACCGCCATGGCTGTATAGTTTCTTGCATTGTGATTGGTTAAAACTCTATATCCATTCATAGCTGAATGGATGTATGGTTGTTCGCAATTATGGCATTTCGGCCCACAAACATAACGACTTTACATGCGTTCTATAGCTGTATGTTGGCATAGATGTATGGATGCGTGGCTGTATGGTTGCATAGATGTATGGATGCATGGTTGTATGGTTGTACAGTTTCCTGTGTTTTGATTGGTTAAAACCGTACATCCATTCGATGGATGAATAGTTGTATAGTTGTCATGTTTATGGCACGTTCCGCCCACCATACACGCCCGCTCCCAGAAAGCCCTATGGCACGCAAACACATTCACCTGCGCCACGCCCCATGCCTCCCCCTCAGCATCACCTCGCATAAATTAGTTTACAGCAGCCGCTACCAGGCCGGACAAGCTACATGCATAGCCCGTCCGACCTAGCAACAACCGCCTTATGCAAATGACCTCAGGTTGTCAGAAGCGGTGCTATATTTTATCAATTTTGTTATGTAAGAATGTTCAATGCAAACAAAATAAACATATGATATTTGTTCTGATTTATTATAGGGATAGTTGTGTTTTCTTGCAGAGGGCGCTACACAACATATATTTTTTGTCAGATAATGAATTCTTATTAATTCTCTCTCGTGTACAGGTGGACAAACCGGAACAGGTTGCATGCAGTGTGTGTGTCGGCGTGAAGGGGGTGTGAGATGGGTGGGCTAGGGGGGGGGGGGGGGGGTGAAGAGTCTGTGTGGTGTGAGTTGAGGGAACAGGTTGCATGCAGTGTGTGTTTGTGTTTGTATGGTTGTTTATGTGTGTGAAAGGGGGTGTGGTGTGGGTGGGCTAGAGGGGGGGGGTGAGAGTGTTGTGATAGGATGGTAACTTTAAACCTTCCTCTACTGTTATTTTGATTATACGCTGTTACATGCAAGACTTTTTTTTTCCTTTTTTTCCCCTCTATGTTCATTGATTAATGTAACTTATGAAATGTCTTGTATCAAAGATCTTGTTTTATATTGCTTATCTTGATAATTTCTTGTTATGTGAATTTCTTGCAATGTGAAATTATGAGGAAGGAAATAAAATATCATTTAAAACAAAAAAATCTACATTTTAAACCTTCCTCTACTGTTATTTTGATTATACACTGTTACATGCAAGAATTTTGTTTCCCTTTTTTTTTCTATGTTCATTGATTGATGTAACTCATGAAGTGTCTTGTATCAAAGATCTTGTTTTATATTGCTTAATTTGATAATTTCTTGTTATGTGAATTTCTTGTTATGTGAAATTATGAGGAAGGAAATAAAATATCATTTAAAACAAAAAATAATGAAAAACTGAGTGTCGAGTTTGAAATAATATACAAATTAAATGACAAAATCATTTTTGTTTGATCAAAATCGGTTCAGAGACGGCTGAAATATCCATAAATATGACCATTTCTAATATTTGTGATGGTATCAAAATTCGGTAATTTTGAACCAGCCGTAAAAAAAGAGATAGCGCCTTATACGTTTTATTCCAGCCAATGCCAATATTGACTTTTAGTTGGCGATTTCGTGCTGCTTATAATACGCACAACCAGTCGACCCGTGTATTGTTATTAATATTTAATTATTTAATTGACGGTATTAATTGACCGTATTTTCTTGAAAGTGGAGCTGAATTGGTATGATCGAAATGTCATAAATAAAGAGCATTAACCATGCACTTTAAAGGCATTTGCGGTCTTAAACAAGAACTCAACTATCCCTTTAAGGTTTGCATTGAGTTCCATACATACAAATTCATTTATTTTAGCCTCTTTTCACTCATTACCTCCACAAAATATGATTGAGATTTTCATTCATTCTCATTTTTAAGGTTGAATGACGAATAACGAAATAGAAAATATGTAAAAAGTTTAGACTCACCCTCTCACAATAGGAAGGCCCCCAAAAGTAAACCAATGTCAGCTTGTCATAATCAGCTTCTTCCCTGTTGATCAGGAGAGAGAGAGAGAGAGAGAGAGAGATGAAGTAAGAGAGAGAAAGATGGAGCGAGAGGGGGAGGGAGGGAGAGAAAGAAAGAGAATGATAGAGAGGGGTAAATTTGTTTTAGTTCCATTATCTTTCTTGATATTTCATTTGATTTCCCGCATTCTGCACTTGTAATTATTACATTAAAAAATCTCCTTTAATTCATTAGCTTACCGTCAATTCTAATAATTCTTTTTCACGCAAATCTCAGTTATAACTGTCGTCTATTTTTTTATAAATATACAGTCAATTCTTCTCTCCTACCACTCGTTTACGCAAAATAAATTTAGAAACATTTGATACACATGAAATATCTAAGTATTAAGCCTTAAAATACGAAGAAGAAAAAGGAAAAGAAAATGATATACATATATTTACCAAACTTGGTGGAAAAGTTCTTCAAAGGATCTGCCTTCGCTGGTGTGCACGTAAGTTATCGCAACCAGAAGCAGCAAAATAGAAAAGCGCGCCATAATCAGTCCGAGAATCTCTTGAAAGGGGGCTGTCGATAGCTTTTCGATACTGGTCTTGACCCTTTTCGAAGATGTCGTCTGCTCTAGGTAGTTCCTCTGCAATGGCCCTTGACTCGAGCACCTAATGATGGTGAGGGCTCTTTATTCTGCTATTTATTATAAAATATTGTCTACGGTGGTTATCATAACAGTATACTTGAGCTTTAGGTACTGGTCATACAATCAATCTTTTTTTAAATTGTTGTAACATGATTTGGAAACTAAGAAACCAACATCCGCCTGCAAGATTGTGCCATATTGCAGGGTGGAAAAGACATGAAAGATAAGAAATAGAGAGGGAGAGGGGAGAGAGAAAGGGGAGGAAAGGGGAGAGGGAAGGGGGAGTGGGAGGGGAGAGAGATGGAGAGGGCAAGAAAGAGAAAGATGGAGAGAAATATATCACAAAATTATGTAAAAATAGACAAAGGAAAGACAGAGAGAAGGGATAGAGGCACAAAGACAGAGACAGCAAGGCGAAGAGGATCGTAAAGCGAGTTCGTAATTAGAATTTGCGCATGGGCAGATAAAGGTCATTCGTACCCAAATTGTAACACCATTGAGACGAATACTCGGATCGTGCTCATGAAAGTTATGTAATCAGTATTCATTTATGCACCAACAGTACATTTATCTGATACACAGATGGAAGTATTCTTCTCAAGAGGCAAACAAAAGGTATTCATGAAGCACCTCCATCACTTTGGCAGTGATTATTCTAAAATGCACAGGTGGGTAGTATTCATCGTGTCTAAGATCTGTGGATATTTTGGTATCATGCAGTCCAGAGCTATTTACGAAATCGCTTATTCTAAGATTTGAAATTGAAATTACCCCGGGCCCCCCCCCCCCACTCAGTGTTATTTAGGGTACGCATATGCGTGTTCCAACCGACCCCCCCCCCCCTTTTCAGCAAAAGTCCGGTGTGTAAAGTCAATACGGCTCGACCTTTTTCTTTTGTATACGAGCCTTTTTCAGCACCCCCCCCCCCCTTTCAGCAAAAGTCCGGTGTGTAAAGTCAATACGGGTCGACCTTTTTCCTTTGTTACGAAAAGGACATTTTGGAAACACGCATGCGGTCATTTCGAAACCTGAGTGGGGGGGGGCCGGGAAATTACCGTTGGTATACAACTATACAAGAGTTATGAGATTTGATAGTGTGAACTCTGAATTTTAGCATTGGATCAAGGATAGTGAAACATACAAAATCTGCAATTCTTCATATAGCCATAATCATGATAATGGTTCATTAAAGGGATTGGATAACTTTGTCTCAGATTCTGAAATTAAATCCTGGATTTAGCTCATGGTACAATGATAGTTACACACCTGTAGGTGAGTCAGGAATCACATGAATTTAACAAGCCGATCCCCTGTCTGATTAATTATCAAGATATTTATGACTTGAAATCGAAATCAAATTTTGCGTTTTCCTAACAGTTTTTATAACACTACATTCTATTGGGGAAAATGGGTATGGTATTTGAAGCCGTTCAATTACAGATTTTTTACATTTTTAAGACAATTCAGGATCATTTTGAAGCGCAATTTTTTAGGGCTTCAATATCACACCATATCACAGACATTGACAACACGTAGGGTCGTGCATCTCAAATTTAACATTGTTAAAGCATACCTTTAAGCACCAATTATTGCATTTTCTATTTTACGGACAATCTCTCTCACCGTACAACCGACGATCCGATAAGCTTTTGCTTTATTACCGGCGTCCATTTCATCGCACTCCTAGCAAATATGACGTCATATCAATACTGCTGTCTAATTGGCTAAAAGGTAGATTGAGCCTGGAATCCAATGCTCACAAGAGATCCCAATCCCACCGCACACTATACGATCCGACTACGATTCGATTTCGGGAGAATTTGAAATAACATTTGATATTAACATTCAAACATGTAAGATCTTTATGACCAAGGATAGGAGTATTCATATTGAATAAAATAACAAATGTCAAAGGGTTCATGCTTCCATAATTTAACGCACTCAAATTCCTATTTTTGGTATTTTTATCACTATTTAGAACCTAAATCAGGACAATAATGTTGGTTGCGATTTCCATATTGTCTGCGACTGGTCTGCGATTGGTCTGCGATTGGTCTGCGACTTACAGACTAACAAGAGTTGTGACGTCACATCCCCTTTCACGCAGTCGCAGGGTACATGAACAGACATAAAATGTGTTTGGAATCAAGTTCTGAGTGTGAGAGATGCAAAAAAGGTTTTCATCCTGAGCACTTTCGAAATTTATAAAAAGAGAGCGGTTTGATCGTACTTTTCTCAACTTTGATGGCTAACTACCTAGAGGAAACCAGAAAATCATAGAGGTAGACTTGTGAAAACTAGAATGAATTCGGCCCCCCAAAACGGGAAATTTATGAAGTTTGTCAAAGTTGTAATCACTATAGGTATGGGCTGAATCGGTAACTTCTCTGCGATGTAGAGGCGGACAACTTTCCCATTTGTTCCAACACACAACATGGAGGTAATTGTCCTGGATGTCATGGTTTGGAGGGAATTGTCCTGAAGGAAATTGTCCTGGAGGTATTTGTCATGAAGGAAGTTGCCGTGGAGTTAATTGTTCTAGGAGTAATAGTCCTGTAGGCAGGCGCGTACGCAGGATTTTTTCAAGGGGGGGGGGGGGGGGGGGGGGGGGGGGGGTTTTAACATTTATAAATCGGTCCGAAAAATTCGCAACGACTCAGCCAGCCGCTGAATAAGCGGGGGGGGGGGGGGGGGGTAAGAGGACACATTTTTTTTTTTTTGGTCTCGAAATTTGGAAATTTTGACATTTGACCGTTGGGGGGGGGGGGGGTAAGGTCACCTTTTTTAGGTTGGCCATGGGAATAATTTTTTTTTTTTTTTAAATAAATAAATAATTAAAAAAACAAAAAAACAAAAAAACAAAATCCAAAAGGGGGGGTTTTAGGGGGTTTTTTTTTTTGGGGGGGGGGGGGGTTTACACACAAAAATTACCAAAGGGGGGGGTAACCCCCAAACCCCCCCCCCCCCCCCAACCCCCCCCCCCCCACCCCCCCCCCCCCCCCCCCCCCCCCTGCGTACGCGCCTGCCTGTAGGTAATTTTTATGGAGGTAATTTCCCTATATTAATTGTACTCGACGTAATTGTCCTTGGGGTAGTCGTATTTGGCGCTTATTCCCCGGGGGTAATTGTATGTCCAGTAGATAGTTGTCCGGATACGGATTCAGTATTATCTGTGTCCAAAAAAACAAGCCTACATGTATTACAAGTCTATAAGAACTGGTGATCGGAATAAATATTTCACTGACACTACCAATCTTTATTCTCCACTGGCCTTACTCATATGCTAATTTGTGCTAGCAGTGGCAGTGGCAAGACATCATAGAGATGGAGAGAGAGTGAAAGAGAGATGGGAGGGAGAGGTAGATGAAAAGGTACAGGGGTCAGTTCTAAATATGTAGAGGAAACAAAGGATCGATAAATGGACATGAATTTTCCTCGCCTTTCCCTCCTTGGTTTTCTGCACTATGCCCCGTAAAGTTGGGATACGTTTGTCCTTCGCCTTTTCTTGAAATGGTTGCGGCAATATGGTTTATTCTGATAGATCAACAAGGTTATGAGAAGTCACGAACTTTATCTGTCAAGAATAAATCATATTGTCACAATTATTCCAGGATGAGACAGAGGTAAGAAAGTTTTATCCAACTTTATACTTAACTGTATATGTTCAATACATACGGATAAAAACTATCAACTTACGAGGACATGATTCTTGCTGGCTGTATGTCTTTCAAACAATATTGAATGATTGAATTCAAGACTTAAACGGATTTTTTATTTTCTTTGTTTGTCATGAGAAGGTCGAATTGTGAACTTGTTTAGTATCACGTGGCAGGTATTGATGAGTTTTTCTTTTTACGTCCTGTTGCACATCTACAAAAGGTATTAAAAATGTTATCCTTCATGTCTGCAAATAATGAATTCGATTTGAAAAGTACAGGTACATTCACATCCTGTTTACAGATTTTCGTTTGATTTCGTCGACAGATTTACCATATATCTTACTTTAAAATAGGATTATGAATGATGAAACTTGTAAAACAATCTTCCAACATGAATCTTCATAGATATCTATGTCTCCAACATATTCAATAACTTTCATTAGAAATTGCCCCTATTACTATTTTGTATCGTCATTAGACTTTAGTAAACGATGGTTGCGACATTGTGTAAAACAAACTAATATACATTGAGACTGTGTGGTTAATTGGATTAAATAAACGCACAATTAACAACGAGTTCAACATTAGGGTTAGAAACCCTGCCACAGCACCAATGTCCTTCGGCAAAACATTAATCTACATTTTCTATCCTCCATCCAAGTGAAATAAACGGGTTTGTTTGTTTGTTTGTTTTTATTTCCGAAATCCATATATACATACAAGTTTAAAAAAAACATACATATACAACACATTTCAAACGATAAGAAAGTAAGTAAATGTGTAAAGTATAGACAAACGGTTTGGATAGCCCATTTCAGAACCATTTTCAAAATGGTCCTGTTCTTCCATTCTTCCATGGGGTATACCCGGTAGGAATAAAGCATTGCTTAATGCTTATCATGGCCGCCGGACTAAAGCAGGGATAATAATGAGATCCAAAGGCACTAAGGGAGAGTAGTATAAATACTATTGAAGATATCCTGCGTATAAACCCCCCCCCCCCCCCCCCCTTTCCAACAAAAACTAGTATTATTAGTCATATAGCTAAATGGTACTCTCTCATCGTTTTGTTTATATAACTATGGAAGAAGTGCGTGACGCCATTTTCAGGCGACCACCTTGGATAATACACGGGGTCTGGTAAGTGGGAATACCTGTACTATAAAACAGCATTGATTATTTTGGTTTTACCTTTTATTTGAGGGCATGGGTGAAAATGTAAGGGCATCCAAGAGGATCAATCAACCTTAAAATTAAGTCTTCCAGTGACAGCTTAATAATGAATAGGCCTTCTGCGTTTTATTTCTTAGACGACAAAAGAACAACAGTAAGCGAGAGAGAGAGTGAGAGAGAGAGAGGGTGAGAGAGAGAGAGAGAGAGAGAGGGGGCGATAGATTGACGAGAAAGTGATTGATTAGCAATAGGCCCTGTTCATATGATACTACCCTGGTTACACGTGCACTGAACGAGCATTTCGGGAGTAGATACGTAAAAGAAATAACACTACGATCATTATTTTCTTCATTGCTTGATAAAAGAATTCCGCTGATTTCATGTTTTGACTATTTTCGTTACATTGCCAATTCTAATTTATAACGTTTAAATAAAACCACTGAAAAGGTTTAAAAACATGTTTTTGTTGTTATACTTTCAATACCAAGCTTGGTGCCGAACAGTTTACCTAGGTGCCTCCATCTTTGAGGGTAGTAACAACATAAAAGCAAGAGAAAAATAGACACCATCGAAAAAATCGGAACAATAATAGATCATCCTCATGTTCTCCGACCTACCCCTACACACAGGCGCGTACGGAGGATTTTTTCGAGGGGGGGGGGGTAAAATTCGAAGATCACGCCGAAAATTTCGCAACGACTCAGCCGGCCGCTGAAATAGCGGGAGGGGGGGGGGTAAGTGCACATTTTTTTTTGTGTGTGTGTGTGTGTGTCTCAAAATCGACAAATTTGGCTCCCCCTCCCCCCCCCCCCCCCCCCCCCCCCCCCCCCCCCCCCCCCCCCCTGCGTACGTGCCTGCCTGCACACCTACTTAGCAAGTCGTCTCTACTCCGCATAGGGATGTCAGTCCCCAGCAGGCTTGCACAGACTCTGGAAATACGTTCTTCAATCGCCATTCGCGAAGGAAAGCCTATCAATCAAGCGATCAGTCAATAAATCAATTTAACTACCAACCAACCAATCAACCGATGAATCAATCAATCAATCATTCATTCAATCAATCAATCAATCATTCATGCAATCAATCAATCAATCATCCAACAAATCAATCAATCAATCAATCACCTTGTCGTGGTACTTTCACTAAAATAGCTGTCTTACAAAAGAAATAGTTCCTCTTAAATTATATGATTGCGTGCATTCTCTTTGTTTCGACGATTACTAGCTTTGAGTAGATTTGCCTTAGAACATTTGGTAAAAGTTCCTCTAGGAATTTACAAAAAAAGGGTGAGGGTGACTTTCGCGAGTCTATTTTTATATGATTACATGCAAAGGTCTCAGTGAAGTGCCCCGATATGATTGTTTTCACCTGTTAAAATAAATCATTTCAATACTCAGAAAGTAAATTGCCTATATTACGTGTTGTTAGGTAGGGCAAGCCATAATGTTGTCTTACCTAGCAACAATTAATGTATGCAATTTGCTTTCTGACTTACGAGATCGAATAGACAGGTTTACTAACATTTTAAATTCATGCTAACTTTTTTTATTAAAAAGGTTGTTCTTGACAAACTGAAAGCTTGCACGACGCTTGCCCGACATAGAAACAAATAATGTATACATACAGGATTCCAAGAAATGTAGTTTATTCATTAATAACAGGTTAGTTGAGATAATTGAGCTCCCCAGGAAAGAAACATTCAGGAATTTGAATATATTAACAAATCATTATAATTGTAACAGGTAAATTACTCGTATTAAAAAACGAGGTACCTCACCAAAACGTAACTATGCTTAAATTCAATAACAATACAAAAATGGTCTTATTATGGTTTTTAAAAAGATTATCCTGTAAAAGTACATGTGGATAAAGGACTAGTAATTGAACTTCTAATTGAGCTTTAATCGTAAGAAGTAAACAGTATCATACTGAGTTAGTAAAAGAAAATGACAAAAGCTATAATAATAATGCCATCATGTTCTCACAGCCCACCGCACACTTTTCGACCTTCATGCGAAGCGATATTCGAAGAAATGGCAAATTATACTAGATAAATAAATCTAAACCAACATCATCTTCCTGGGGGCGTTTCACAAAGCCTTTTTTTTCAATGACAAATAACAAAAATCAGTGACAAATCTGCTGATAACCAATCAGAAGCAAGGGTTTCAGTAGCTTATAACACACCAATTGTCATTTGTCAATGATGACAAGTTTTGTGAAACGCCCCATGATGTAGGTTCTAAATAATGATAAGAATTTTAGTGCATTTAAGCTTTCTAGTCTGAATAAAGCCGAATCGAATCCTACAAATTTGCACTACCGGTATGACGTCATTAAGATTCTGAGACGATTCAGCTATTCCTCTTCCAAAGAAGCGTGAGTATTCAAATCATAGATCGTTAGGATTTAAAATGTTGAATGATCGCATCAAATACTATGGCAAACTCTTCCAAAATCTGATCGATTTCCTGTTATTTGGAACTTTAATCCTTTTGAAATATCCTCATGCAAGTCTTTAACATTATTTAAAGAAACTTGAAGCAGCATCTTATATCTAAATATCAATGATTCTTGTACTAATAATTATATTATTCAACATTACCTATTACTGTTTTCAACTCATGATTTTGTAATGAATATTTCCATTTGTATTATCTACCAAGAACGATGTCCATGTTTTGTCATGTATCTTCTTTTTTAGTTTTGTTTGTATATGTTTATTTGTTTGTTTGATTGATTTTATTCTGCGTTCAAAAAACAAATACAAGGTTATGCATTTTTACATAAGTTTAACATACATAGCAAGTCATGTCTAGTAATATTATACAATAACCATAATACAAAGCATACAAACAAGTATAACCGATATTTGTATATATTTTTCAATAACTAAAGAGATACATTTTAGAACGCATAAATAAGGCCATTTGGCCTTTTTTTTTAGTTCCCTATTTTCATTTCTTATATATTGCAAATTCTTATTATTGTTTATATCTTTGTATGGTTTTATTGAAAATGAAAATTAATAAAACGAATTTAAATGAATTGAATTGAATTAAAAGTCAGGTGGTATAGTGAGCTGTCGGTTCTAGAAGCCTACACAGTAATGCATGTATTATTATCCTGGCTTTACCTAAGCCGAATGGCGCTCATTCAGAATAACTACACCTGATACCCAGTGTAGGATACTTTGTAATAACGTTACTCGTTCACATGACGGCATTGATCAATGCATGAATGACATTTCGATCGTTCAATCTTTGTGTTAAACATTTTTTTTCTACAACGATTTCGGGGGAAAAGACTCATTTAAATATATCAGCATACCGATATTTTGTAAAACATGCAGTTAATAATAAATTAACTCGACTAAAAATGCCCGTTAATTTGAAGATGTTGGAAGAGCGTCATCTGGATTAAAAGAGAGATAAAAATTGATTTAAATGAATATTTGTTTTCTAATCATGCATAAGGTATAGAAATTAAAGATAAGCTTGAGTTCTCGTAATGATAGAAAATACATTCTCACAAAATCCGACAAAACTTACACTGAATGTTCAAGATCACAAATAAATGACATGTGCCATACGCATTTGGTAGAAAATAAACATGGGCTGAATAATGAGAAAAGAAAGATAAGGAAATCAAGGTAAGTAGGCCCAATACCACTATGTGCAAAGGAGAGTTGCGGTTTAAAAAAAAAGATGATTTCCAGCAAGTTTTTGTGAGTTTGTTTTTATTTTACTGGTTCAAACAATCAATTTACTGCAGAATGAACAATCCAGAATAGATTATAGCCATGTTCTCTAAACATACGATTCCCATATACCAGAGCTCAAGATTAGCTTTAAGAGTGATTTCCCATAGTAATAGATGTAACAGACGTCGGTGAGTTGCCAAAGACAGCCCATGTCTTATTCTTCCTTTTCCCTCATGTCATTGAAGAGGCCTGCCGTCATCTTACTCTTCCTCCGTCATCATCATCATCTCCCTTGCACCCATCTCGGCGACGTCAAACAGGAATTGGAAGGCCAGATCGTCGGAAACTCCCTGTGGGAAGTTAATGGGTATGGAGCCGGGGAAAGGGGGGAATTCAACTTGTTTTTTGGGTTGCATAGACCCCCTCCTACCAGCTCACTCCCACAAGTAATTGGCTTGAGAGTCTTCTTGTCGAAACATAGGCGAACTTGCCACAGGTACTGGAACATCTTCTTCTCCTGTAGTTGATTTAATCATAATAATAATCAATCAATTAATTGATTATGATCATTTTTATTTTTTTAAACCAGAGGTAGCCACATCAGTATTAATACTGCTCTACCTGCGGGCATTGCAGTTATTAATACGCCAGAATAGAATGTAAGATAACGTAAGAGTTGGAGAGGTATTATTTCTATTTCGTCATACGGGGGACTACTTGATATGTTTGGATAGAGGAAGAGAAATTAAGAGAGATATTCTTTCATGAAAGGAGTCATGAGGTGGACCGATGAACCAGGTTATGAATGCGAAGAGAGATCGAGGATGGACTTTCCGAACAGGTTGACTGCTCGTCACCAAGACTTAAGTGATAAACTACCTCTCTCTCACTCTCTTTTCCATCCTCTTTCAAACCCAACAGTCCTTTTCAGAACTACCCACCTGGTGTTGAAATCGCAAACTTTTGAATTTATTTTTTACTTCTGGAATTACGAGGGAACATTGTATGTGTAAAACTTGCATGGAGCGAAACACACAATTATCGCTCCAGACCGAAATCGAATAATTCATCTCTGGAGTGTATTTTTTGTTAAACGCCTGCCGAAGCTTTACCGATTTTTTGCAGTAAGATAACTTCGGTAAGATACCAATTTTTGCTCACAAGATTCTCTTCGCTTCCGTGCTGACGAGGCACGCGTTCGCACCACTCACCAAAAAAGGTTACGAGCAACCTTCGACGCCTTTTTATGTGTTTTTACAGTAGTGTAAATGGTAGACCGAAAAAAAAAAATCGACGTTTTTTCAAAATGTGTTTGTGGTGTTAATGGGCCAAATGTGTTCTTGCTATACATCATACTTACTACACAGTAGACATTAGGGTCGACGCGAAGTCCCTTCTTTAGGGCTGAAGTGATCCAGGACAATGGATAGTAGTGGGCGGTAGTGGGCTTTACGGGTTTTACGCCATTTGCCAAGATTCTGTCAAACACGTGGAAATGCGGTAATGATAAATAATAACTATTTTTGTGACATATGTACTAGACTGAGTAACACATACAGACAGTTTCAATTTATTCCTCATACAAACTCAAATCTAAAACGATGTTTTCCGTCATTTATTTTATAATGTTTCAAATCATTCTGGCTAGATAAATACGTATCGTTATTTCTTAGACTTATAATGTTTTTTTGATTTTTGAGCCAATGACAATTGTAAAGCTCGAACCCCCCCCCCCCCCCGAAAAAAATAAAGAATAAATAAATAAATGAATAAATGAATAGGCCTAAATAAATAAAAAATAAATAAATAAATAAATAAATAAATAAATAAAAATTGAAGAAAACAAAAATGAAAACAAAAATTGCCAGATTTATTCCCTTAAGGGCTTAAAGGTACTATGTCCCATTTGCAGGCCAAACACAAATGAAAAGCTTAAATTCCAGAGGCATTTGAAACACAATACTAATTTAGAACTTCCATCAAAAGAAAAAGGGCTTGAAAATGGCTTTTAGTGGGAAAATAACGAGCATTATTTGTCGAATTGACTTAAGTGATTGCAATCACCTAAGTAATAGTCTGATTTTCAGACACTTTTACCGAATGATCGTACGATTTGTGCTGCACAAAGGTTTAATCACTTTAACTTTGGCCATTACAAGTAGTGGGTTATTGATGTAGACAAATACTTGTGTATATGTTACAGCTCATTTTATGTACGTTATTACCAAAGAAAAAAAAGTCGTCAGTAATGCCTAGGTCACATTTGCTCTACGGCTAGGAAACGGCGGCCATACGCACCCGAAATCGAGAGATACTTGCGGCAGCCGCCTCAGGGTCACCCTATATCCTTATATATAGGGCGTATCCCTATCTTTACAGGCCGTCCGTCATCACTTTAAAGGAAATCGCAGATTTTCCGACTCCACAAATTCAAAAGACGCCGTGCGGTTACCCTAACATATGTGACCGCTACCCTATTTGACCGTGGGGATGCTGCTATAATTGCTATATCGGTCGTAGATATTTTAGACCGCACGGCCGCCGCGGCAAATGTGACCTAGGCATAAGTCACTCGATAGTGTCTGACTGTGCAGTATAGAAGGTAAACGGGTTTCCTTGCATAATTTGAATACCAGGACACTGCTAATGTTTAAATTTCACAGATAGGACATACATCCCATTAGACAGAACACTAAAAAGTAACCTCTTTTTGGAGTGTATTTTAAGTGATTTGAAAGTATAGTGCCTTTTGAACTAGATTTAAACGTTATCGACACGTGCCTTCATTTAAACAAAAAAGGTACTCCTGTTCACGTTTTCATCTAACCTAAAAACCACCAATTTATCACGCGACTGGAGTAACGTGATTCCACTTACCTCTGTAAATCAAGTGTTTATGACCAAATAACCACTTGACCAAGCAACGAGTTTTTTGTCCGTTGACCGATGGTGGTGATAAATACGTAATTATTTGGTCTTGTAAGCACCTTTATCGATTGGTTTCACAAGTTATCCAAGGTTGATGGTAATAATCACGTTACTTATACTGGCTAATCGTCTTATTGTTCTGTCCGTGAATCTCTGGTTATATTAAATTAGTAATTCTGAGGTGTCTTACACACCTCTTTAAATGGTTTCAAAGTAACCATAAATTTCTTGGTTATGATCACGTGGCTCAAGCTGATTACTAACCTAAGCTGTGAATACCTGATATTTAGGTGTGAAAATAAGTAATTATTAGGTGTCTTAAAACACCTTTTTAAATGGTAGTCAAAGTTGCCACCAGTTCCGCGGTGATGATCTTGTGACTCAATCGGATTACTAATCTAAGCTAAGCATACGTGACTTTTACGTGTAAAAAATTAGTCATTATTAGGTGTCTTAAAACACCTATTTAAATGGTAGTCAAAGTTGCCATTAGTTCCGCGGTGATGATCTCTTGACTCAAACGGATTATTAATCTAAGCTGGGCATACGTGACTTTTAGGTGTGAAAAATTGTAATTATTAGGTGTCTTAAAACACCTTTTTAAATGGTTTCAAAGTTACCATAACTTTCTTGGTGATGATCACGTAGTTAAAACTGATTACTAATCTAAGCTGTGAATCCGTGATATTTAGGTGTGAAAAATTAGTAATTATTAGGTGTCTTCAAACACCTATTTAAATGGCAGTCAAAGTTGTCAGCAGTTCCGCGGTGATGATCTCGTGACTCAAACGGATTATTAATCTAAGCTGGGCATACGTGACTTTTAGGGGTGAAAAATTAGTCATTATTAGGTGTCTTAAAACACCTATTTAAATGGTAGTCAAAGTTGCCAACAGTTCCGCGGTGATGATCTCGTGACTCAAACGGATTATTAACATAAGCTGGGTATTCCGTGTTTTCCAGGTGTGAACATGAGTTATTCTTGGGTGTCTTGATAGTTTCACAGTTACCATTTAAGTTCCGTGGTGATAATCCCGTGACTGTTGGCATATTTCTATGTTCACCAGTTGATAACTGACTGTTGGCATATTTCCATTTGCACCAGCTGACACCAATTAATTTGCATATTGAATATGGGGTGCGTGCAGATCTATGTTTTTTAAACAATTTATCTGAATTTACAGCGTATTTCTTAATTACTGATGATTTAGTTATATGCAATTAATTTCGAAAATGCTACAAATATAAATTACCAGTTATTAGGACATTTCGCTACTTCGTATAAATTACATTTAGTTAAACATGATTAAGGGAAACATTAACTATGAACTAAAATAATTTCTATAAAATACAAGTATATGAACAAATTTCGATTAATTGAATTATGTAAGTCTACTTATTACCAATGCCTTTACATTGGAAATACAGACGTACCAGTATTGAAGTGTTGTTGCTGTAAAACTGGTTGGAAGTTTTACCAAATGGTTCTAATGGCTCAGCTAGACCAGTTGAATTCTAACTGGCCTGGATCAACTGGATCATTTAGCCCATTTCAATTTCCAGGGTTACCAGTTGGCATTAACTGGTTCATCAACTGGACCAGTTGCAACTAGCTTTCTCTTCTTGGATGTTTGCACCCACCCCCCCCCCCCACCCCCTCCAATTCCAAACTGCTTCCGGCGCGCCTGAACGTAATTATGGAAGATCCAAGACACGATGTTCAGAAGGGGTCTATTCGCTATTCATAAGGACCGCTATTCATAAGGTCCGCTATTCGTAAGGACCGCTATTCATAACGTGTAAATTCCCGTACTTCCGGGTCCGCTATTCATAATGGCAAAAGAGGGTCACTATTCATAATGAAATAAGGTTCGTTAATCATAAGGACCGCTATTCATAACGTGAGATGAGGGTCGCTATTCATAATTCATATTAAGGGTCATTAATCATAAGGACCGCTATTCATAATATGAAATCAGGGTCGCTATTCATAATACGACGAGAAGGTCGCTATTCATAATACGAAATAAGGTTCATTACTTATAAGGGTCGCTATTCATAACACGGGAAGAGGGTCGCTATTCATAATAGGAAATGAGGGTCGCTATTCATAATAGGAGAAGAGGGTCGCTATTCATAATAGGAGAAGAGGGTCGCTATTCATAATAGGAGAAGAGGGTCGCTATTCATAATAGGTAATGAGGGTCGCTATTCATAATAGGAGAAGAGGGTCGCTATTCATAATAGGAAATGAGGGTCGCTATTCATAATAGGAGAAGAGGGTCGCTATTCATAATAGGAGAAGAGGGTCGCTATTCATAATAGGAGAAGAGGGTCGCTATTCATAACAGGAAATGAGGGTCGCTATTCATAATAGGAGAAGAGGGTTGCTATTCATAATAGGAGAAGAGGGTCGCTATTCATAAAAGGAGGAGAGGGTCGCTATTCATAATACGAAATGAGGTTCGCTATTCATAATAGGAGAAGAGGGTCGCTATTCATAATAGGAGAAGAGGGTCGCTATTCATAATAGGAAATGAGGGTCGCTATTCATAATAGGAGAAGAGGGTTGCTTTTCATAATAGGAGAAGAGGGTCGCTATTCATAAAAGGAGAAGAGGGTCGCTATTCATAATAGGAGAAGAGGGTCGCTATTAATAATACGAAATGAGGTTCGCTATTCATAATAGGAGAAGAGGGTTGCTATTCATAATAGAAGAAGAGGGTCGCTATTCATAATAGGAGAAGAGGGTCGCTATTCATAATAGGAGAAGAGGGTCGCTTTTCATAATAGGAAATGAGGGTCGCTATTCATAATAGGAGAAGAGGGTTGCTTTTCATAATAGGAGAAGAGGGTCGCTATTCATAATAGGAAATGAGGGTCGCTATTCATAATAGGAGTAAGGGGTCGCTATTCATAATACGAAATGAGGTTCGCTATTCATAATAGGAGAAGAGGGTCGCTATTCATAATAGGAGAAGAGGGTCGCTATTCATAATAGGAAATGAGGGTCGCTATTCATAATAGGAGAAGAGGGTTGCTATTCATAATAGGAGAAGAGGGTCGCTATTCATAAAAGGAGAAGAGGGTCGCTATTCATAATACGAAATGAGGTTCGCTATTCATAATAGGAGAAGAGGGTCGCTATTCATAATAGGAGAAGAGGGTCGCTATTCATAATAGGAAATGAGGGTCGCTATTCATAATAGGAGAAGAGGGTTGCTTTTCATAATAGGAGAAGAGGGTCGCTATTCATAAAAGGAGAAGAGGGTCGCTATTCATAATAGGAAATGAGGGTCGCTATTCATAATAGGAGAAGAGGGTTGCTATTCATAATAGGAGAAGAGGGTCGCTATTCATAATAGGAGAAGAGGGTTGCTTTTCATAATAGGAGAAGAGGGTCGCTATTCATAATAGGAGAAGATGGTCGCTATTCATAATAGGAAATGAGGGTCGCTATTCATAATAGGAGAAGAGGGTTGCTATTCATAATAGGAGAAGAGGGTCGCTATTCATAAAAGGAGAAGAGGGTCGCTATTCATAATACGAA